ACAATGGGCTTTCTTGAAATGGGAACTGTAGCACAACCATTTGAATGAGCAGAACCAGACATCTCTCTTCTATTCTTAATCCTATAGCATTCAGAAATAAGATGACCAGGCTTTTTACAATAGTTACAGGTGACATTTGATTTTGGACCTGAAGAATTTGATTGATCTGATTTTGAGCTAGAACTCTGTGATGAATAAGACTGGTCTTTTGCTTTGTTTGATGTATTTGATGATGAGGACTGATTTGATTTAGAGTCATATGAAGGTTTGTTACCTTGATAACCTCTAAAGTTAGGATTACCTTTGATAAAACTACCCTTATGAGTAAGAGCATAATCATCAGACAAGGTGGCAGCTTGGCTTAAAGTTTCTACCTTGTGTTCATCTAAGTAAGTTCTAATGTGATACTGAACACAGTTTTTAAATTGTTCTATTAGCATAAGCTCTCTGAGCTTTTTAAACTCTTCAGATACATCTTTAGAGACAAGCCACCTGTCAAAAAGCTGCTCTTGCTCTCTAGCAAACTCAACATGGGTTTGGTCACTCTGTTTGTGGGCATTTCTAAATTTTTGTCTGTAAGCTTCTGGTACTAGTTCATAAGCTTTAAGAATTGCATTTTTAACTAGGTCATAATCAGAGCATACTTCTCCTGAGAGAGAGGCAAATATTTCACTTGCTTTTCCAATGAATACACTCTGGAGCATAACTGGCCATGCAGATTTAGGCCAGTCTAGGCTCTGAGCAACCTTTTCAAAATGTGTAAAGTATTTATCAACATTTTTCTCTTGAAATTTAGGTACAAATTTGAGAAATTTTGAAGCGTCAAACCTATTTTCAAAATGTTGATGCATAGTAGCATGTTCATCAGTTTTGGATTTAGCTTCTATTTCAAGTCGTTTTAATTCAATTTCTTTTTCCTTTTGAATTTCTTGTTCTCTTAATCTTGTTTCTCTTTTCTCTCTTTCATTTTGCATTTCTAACTCTTTCTCTCTCAATTCAAGCTCTTTGAGCCTAATAGGATCAACAGGCTCAACATGTTGGGCCGGCTCCATGGAAAGCTTTAACGCTTCCTCAGGCAGAATTTCTTCTGCTACCAAATATTGCACTAAAAGGTTTTTAATTGTGCCTTTTCTGTAGGAAGTTTTAACTGCCAAGCCAACATGTTTAGCCAGTGCCAGAAGATCAGTTTTCTTTAACTTGTCAAACTCCTCCAAAGAGGGCGCTTCTAAAAATGTCTCAACCTCAAAACTCATTTTTGATTAATTGCTGTCTTCACAAATTAAATGTGCAAGTTTTAGATTTTGAATTTTAAAATATTTGTATTTTAGCTTGTTGTAGTTGTATCCCGGACGAGCCCCCAATTTCTGTTACGTTCGAAAATAACAGAAAGTAAAAACAGCAATTAAAATATGATAACAATATATTTATATTTTGAAAACTAAATAATATAACAATAATATAAAGGAGGTTTAATACTTAAGTGATGTCCAATCAATGATACGGCTTATTCTTGATGTCGATAAATGTCGTTGACGATCCTTGAGAATGTTCCAGATCACGAATGTTTCGATAATCGTTAATAGTTCTCCAATGTTTGTAATAATTCAATAATGTTCGTTGTAATCCTATAATGTTTGTATCCAATAATGTTTGATGATAATCCACAAATGTTTGATGATAATCCACAAATGTTTATGATAATCCACGAATGTATATGATAATCCGTATATAGTGTGTGTTGTAATATATGTCCATATAAAGTCCTCAGGTTGTATATTTGTAGTGTTATAAATGTTCCCACGGTAATTATCTGCTAAGAAGATGTCCTTTTGATAAACTTTGAAATTCTGCTTTATTTAGTTCCTTTGAGATGTCCAGTTATGATTACTTAATTATCTGCTGATGAGAGTCACTGTGTAGTTGCTTTTATACTAGTGTATAAGAATGTTCTGGAGAGAAGGTTCCAGAAGTACATCTTGATTGGACATCTTTAGTGACATGATTAAATTTTAATGAATGGTTATAATTTCTAGAACTATCTGGATGGTCAAGGGTTAATGAGTCATTCAGTTCAGTTTTGTTTACAAGATACAGTGTATAATGTCATTGTGACCTTGACCTAAGATCTCTAATAAAGAATAGCTCAACATATACAGCAAGCATAGATTACAAATTAAAAAAAACTATAGGTGAATATAGTAGAATATAATATACATGTAGCTCACTACTGTAACACTATATTCAAACCACCAAGTTATTTTCTAATTTCTTCACCTCCAAATGACATTTGATGCATGTAAATAAAACAAAGGTAACACTGAAAGTTACAGAGGTAAAGGTATAATAAATAACAGAACCCCAGGTATTATACACTGGTGTCAGGCTTCAATGTGACTTTATAGTAGGGGTGTACCAGTTACTTTTGAGGAATCTCTTCTTCCTTAGCATTATAACATAATGTTCTTATAAAAATCCTTTCCTGAGAATTTTTCTATTAATAATCCCACAAAATGTTAACTATGTACTGTATCAAAACACAAGTTTTAGTACTAATATCTATAATTTTCTGTAACCCTGAAATGTAACCCTACAACTTGGTGCTCCCATAAGTATTGAGCATGGGGACAAAAGACTTGCTTTAAGACTACATTGTATACATAAAGATTTGTTGGTTGTCCCCTTTTGTATGCATTTATTCCATTCACAATAGACCTTGATTCAATGACAAATTCTGAGCTATATTCAGATAAACAAGGGTATGAGGACTTTTGAAGGTTGTATAGCATAGAGGGGTGAAATAGACATTGACAATATTGTTTCAATACAATTACTGTTTTCAATACGTACTTGCTATTTTTTAATAACATTTTAAAATGAGAATTCATCCATGGGATGGGGGGAGCAAAATTAGCAGTTTTTCACCATTCTGATCACTTTTTAAGTGATTTTGGGCCAAAATGGTCAAATGTGAGCACCCCTGGAATTCTTTAAAAAGTGACCACCCCTCTTTTGCAAAAGCTGGCTATGAGCCTGTCATCACCACTTAAAGTAGGCATACTCTAGCCAAGTTTGTTGGTTAGAGGCTTGAGTAAGTATTGATAAGTACTAACTCTTACCTTCTTCCAAGGCTGTCTCTGGACAATCAATCATTGTGTCATTGATTCTCACTTGTGCTTTATTCACTTGCTATCAATAAGCAGAATTATATTTAACTGTAAACTTACCTTTGTATACTGTAAATTGTTTAAATTGCTCGATGCTCGGATGTTCCAGAGCCAGATCCAGCCCCTATTGGTACAGGATTGTACTCAAAGTATTGGCTCAAAGGATAAATGTGAAGATAAGCCAAGAGCCAAAAATGCTACATCAAAAAAAATGACCACCCAAAAATATGACCCTCGTACTGACCTTTATTTTTTCCATCTGTCAGACATTGATTGATCAATATTTACCCTGTAATCTCTTCTTTATGTATTAGCTTGAATGGTTGCATGATATCCATTATTGACACTGTAATTCGACTTTTCCCGGGACATTTATTTCAAATTTTCAGAGCGTAAAGATAATGGAGTGCTTCGGTGTCCGATGTTGTTCGTCTCTCAAATTACGTCACATCGCAACCAGCAGCCAATGAAAGTAAAGGATCGAGAACCTCAACAAACCGTTGTTATTGTTTCTACAGGAGTTTAAAGAAATGTCATGGGACTTCTCGGTAATCTCTGATGTGATGTCATCCGGAGTGGCGTCACATTCTCAGAAAAGGCATTTGACTTCGGAAATAATCATTTGAACAACGGAGATAGCCGAAGCACTCCACAAATATACGCTCGCTCATTTTATGCTTTTATCAACAGACGCTTTCTTGGATATGTGGATTTAGTGATTGGAGTTGAAGCTTACAACAGTACGCATCGTTTGAGGTATGACATGTGATATTTATTGATAAACTGACTCCAAAATCAAGGAAAAATAAATTTTCCGAAGATCTCGTGTCTTGTCCTAGAGTATAGTTATTGAGCCTAGACACAGAGGATTAATCTGGCAGAGGTCCGTGGGTAAAACCTAGTATGTATCCAACAGACCGAATATAATATTCGGTCTGTTATGATTGATATATTTCCTGTGGAAATCTCGGTGATATTTTTTGCACATAAATTTCTCGTTTATTACAAGAATGTTCACCTTGAAAATTGGTGAATATGTTGGAGAGATGTTCATCTTAAACAAGAAGCAAAAATATTTGTATAAGGCGGGTACAAGTTGATATAAAATAATGAAATGTTCAGACTCACCAAAACTTCAGGATGTGTTTATAAGTACATCGCGAAATCAATGTCAAGGACGTTTGAGTTCACGAGATCCAAACGAGATATGCAAATTTTGAACTTTGACAACACATGACCACTTGATTACCTCGGCCTTCTTCATGAATATTTCCGCTCTATTTACTATAAATGAAGAAAATTAATCGGGATAATGATAATAAATGACTAGATCTAATAAATTCCCGCACAAATGGAATTTATCAACACGCTTCCGTCCGCTCCACGTGTTATTTGTTTACAAATAGACTGACGTCACTGGCTAAATCTCGTTTATCGTGAGAATTGGCATTGCCAAATGGCTTGACCTAATCAATGGCTTCGCTACAAGAAGCGTCTGTACATTTTATGAATATCTTCAGTAAGAGGACAATATACGAAAAAATAATATTGTAAGTACTTTATAAGGTAATCATTTTATCATTTAACAAACTTATTTGTAACATTTATACAACACCACATTTTACAATAGGTGACTTACAGTCTGAATATTTATTCAGACGAAGGATACAGTCTAGGTAAAACCAAAAGATCAAAAAAAGAAAAGCGAAGTTTCACACAATCACTTAAAATGTATTTGACGATCCCTTTACAGGTTTATGGTATAGTTTTTCTCACTAAAGTATTAAATAACTCACATTTACTCTTTTAACTTTACAAAATAAACATGTTACTCACCTAAATACACGCGTTTTCCTAATTAAGTGCAGACACTTTCTGAAGATTTCATCAGCAGTCAGCATGAGGACGAGATCAGGGATGGAGTGAACATAGTCACGAAATATGAAAACACAACTAACCTACCGTATTCGCCTTACAAAGCGCCCAGTCGAAATGAGTGTGAGTGCCCCCTTAACTTCTTTTCTTGGCGTTATGAAAGTATATCAGCATGCAGACCATGATATGATTTATTAACTTCTATTATTAAAACAGGTTCAGGGGGGCTTCAGGAGTAAATTAAAGCAAATTTACCCTCGGGTATCGCTGTATTCCATGTATGGAATTATGTGTAAATTTTTCAACTCTTTACCCTTAAGATCCTATAGCTACATGTATCTACTTACAATTTCAAAACAAATGGGCTACATGAGTACTCTTTGTGATGAGTTACAATGGGAATTTCAATTTCAAAAGTGCTCTGGGTGCTTTTTGCGGTGAATACGGTATCAGTAATTTAGCTAACTTACAATCAGTAACCTTTAAGAGAGGGATGGGATGTTATACTTTGTTCTTTACTTTGATTTAATCATAAAATAAATATTGATTTCATGATTTCTGTTGAAAGCCCATGCATATACACACGTTGACAGTTTTTTTATGAAAGTGCTCACTATTTAACATGCTGTACCAAGGTTCTCACAAAAAGTCATGCTTCGAGACTTTGTTACACTTGAAAAGGGGAATGATAAGTTCATCTTTGAATTCTGGGTAATTCCCCCCCCCCATTTGACCCCATAAACATCACCTCCTAAACAGGGGCGGATCCTGGATTTTGTGTATTAGGGGGGACGTTTGATGATAACAGTGAGCAAAGAAAACTAGAATAGGGGGGTCTAGCGCATTCTCCCCCCAGAAAATTTCAAAACTTGAACATCATTTGGTGCAATCTGACCAATTCCAGAGCGTATCTCCAATCCCCACATCGGATTACAGCGTAATGCGTTATCGATAACCATTTACTTTGATTGCCAGTTGAAATTCTGATTTTTTAGTTTTTAAGGGGGTGTGTGCCCCCCCATACCTTGATCTAGATCCGCAAGTGTTAAAGGACTCCGAAGCTGAAATACAAGTATATTGAATGAGAGGCTCCTAATACTTCATACAAAACAAGAAAAATTTATTACTGACTATTTTAGATCAATGATCATTCATGTATAGTTGCATCCATGTATTTAGTGTCATGTAAAGTAACCATATTGAAGGTCATTCATGTAGTTACAGGTTAAGGTCAGCTTAAAGGTCATAGAGGGCAATTACCCCTTGAAGGTCAAAAGTCAGTCAGGTATTGAAGTCTTATATTGAATGCTTATATTGTTGCCTAATCCCATGTTATTAAAATCTGATACATAAAACTTTCTGTTTTATTCCTCAAAGTCATTTTCATACATACATGTAAGACTCTTTGTTTGAAAAATTGTGAATTTATTTAAAGTGAAATTTTGGTTGTCACACTCATCTATATGAATATGCAAAACTTTACAAAAATCGTTCATCCCAATCAATTTTTTTTGCAGAAATTAAGAAGATTGGTTGAAAAACTGAGTGATGAACTCTTAGGTGCAGACAAATGGGTCAGAGAAACTGTTTAGATCTTATAAATTAAATGGTACAGAAATTGGGCTGTTACCTCAATATCTTAAGCATGACCCTTGGAGCTTGGTTTTTAATTGATCCTGAAAAATCGCAATCAACTTACAACTTGTTCAACTTGAACCATCGACATAAAAAGTCATAGAATTTGGGTATTTTAGACTCAGAGTTAGATACTGAGCTAAATTTTGTATTTTGATAGCTTATACATTGTACACATAGAAACAATAAAACAATATTTTCCAATTTTATATACAACTTTGTACAAAATTCAACAGACATAATATTATATAGTATCACAAAATACTGGCTTTCTTGTCTATATACAATAATTACAGTAGTACATAATGATATACAATTGAGCTTTGTTCATCTCAGTTTATTTCATGGCCAATACTGTGTCAGAGATTTGAAAATCAACAAGGGAACTGGCAAATATGTTTTAAAACCATTAAAAATTTGTTTTCACTTTTCACAAATATGGGCTCAAAAAGCCTATTTTTTAAAAATGAGGTTTATTTTTGTAAACACAAAAAGGCCAATTCTTAGGCAGAAAAGATATTGGTCCCTAGTGATCACCCAGATCCACCAGAGCACTTAGTGTAAGTTATTCCATGCTATAGAAATGACCAGGGTACAATATGACTGAAAATGGTAATGTTCTGTACAATATTCTACAGGCTTCAGGTCCATAGCCCTAACTTTTCCAAGGAGGTTTCATTTATTATAAAATAGACAATTTTGGCCAAAACTCACTCAAAGTGCTCAAAATGGTGAAAAACAGCAGGATTTTGAAAGACTTTTTGCACCCCCACCCCTGGCTATGGGCCTGAGCTTGGCAGCTGGTTGGGACTGTGTTAGATGGATCATGATCAAAATGATGGTTGCTTGGTGAATCTCTTTCTAAATGAAATGCAATCAAAAGCAATGTTTTGCTGCCACATCAGTATACTGAACAATCATCAATTGTCCGCTTACAAAGGTCACAATTAATTTCCCATTGTACATGCAGCCTCACTTGATGCAGTCTAACTGTTAAAGCAGGCAAGGTCTCAATCACTTTAAGCAGGTGACTTGTAGTTTCCTATTGTTTATGCTGATCACATACAATTTACCATTGTTAATGCTATCTCATGCAAATTGGATCCATTGTTTATGCAGTTATATATTAGACAGTGTTAGATCCATTAAATCCAGCAATTTTTCACTCACTTTTTTTCTGTCCTTTCTGGGGCTGAAAATCAAAGAAAAAATAATAATATATACATGTACTGGCCATTTAATAGATGAGATGGTTTAGGGTCAAAAATTCAAATGTAAATATGTTAATTAACATTCAATGCAATGTGGATATACATGTAGATGCACATTCAAATGTAAAATATATAACTTATATTTCTTAACATGTTACTTCAGGTTGGTAATTAATTTTTATATCCATAACTGTTACTGTTTGACGCAACCTTATCACCACGGTGATGAGGATCGTTCTGACGTCACAAGATAAGATCGGGTCCAACGCCAGAAGTTAAATTCTGAGGAAGAAACTGTGTTTTCGAAACATCAATAAACAATTTTAAGGTTGCGTCAAACAGTAGCAGTTATGCATATAAAAATAGGTAACTTATAGAGAAGATTTGCATACAAGACATTCCACTCTGAAACTTTAGCCTTGGGGTTGAGTTTGTTCGCACAATATGCCATAATTGTTATCTGTAGAATTTTTGTAAATTGCTTATGGCTTTTTCATATGTAATATGAAACCCAAAAAGTCTGGCTAATGTATTGTCTAATTTTGCTTGATTTAAATGCAATTGCAAATGTAATTGGGAATAATAAAATTATTTCACACAGTGATAGAATTATCAGACAAAATCGCACTGTTGAAATTAACACCATGCATAAATCTACTATAGATAGATACACATCAAGGTTAGGTTAAATAATATTGTTAGATAATCACACATGTTAATGTCAAAATATTTTAGGCACAAACATTGATTTTCTACTTTTCTAGTTCCCTGTTACAATGTGTAACAGATTTACCTGTTCTCGTAATTTTCTTGGAAAATAAGGCTGCTTGGGAAATCATAAACACACTCCGAGAATTTCAATGCGATTGTTGTAAATAGTTTACATGGGGTTACCTTCAGAAATTATACCATGCAAATTATGATTTTCACAACCGTGAACAAAAAAGGTTTGTCGATCTATGTCTATATTTCTTTCTCATTCTAATGAGGTGTAAATGGGTTTTCAAGTGGGTGCAGCCCTATTTTCAAAATCTCAACCAGGTACAGGTCCATTTGATTCAAATCTTCTTCATGCATTTACTACATGTAAAAAGGCAGTTGAAGCTGATCATCATCACAAATGTTTTGATTGAATAGGTTATTACAATATCAAATTCAAAATTTCATGCAGCATACATTTATAAAACAATACATGTAAAATTTTGTAGTGTTTTAGTTGTGTGTATGATATCAAATCCAAATTCATTTGCACTCTGAATATTTTACTTACGGCTAGATATTGGAAAGAAAAATGATAAAAATTAAAGATTGACATTTTCTTGCAGATAATATTCAATAACCATAGATCTGAATTCAACAGAAAGATAAGATTAGTCTTAGACTTTCCCACCACTCTCAAGTCCCTTAAAAACTTGATTAGGAAATCCTACACCCACAAACTGTATGAGTAACATGTACATGTATTTCTAATATGACATTTATTAGTTATAGATGGCGTCCTAGTAGGTAACTTAAATAGCCTATTTTTCATTACTTCTTGAAATCAAATTCCAATAATATTGACTAAAATTCATTTTAATTTTAATACTTTTATTTCTGATTAAATATTGTGACTACATACGAGGTTCTGAGAGTTTCTGCCAGATTGGAGCCAGTAGTTCATCCAAGTTTTCTTTCTGCATAATGAAATCATTTGTTGTTGCATCAGGCGTGTTTTCTAACCAATCAGATTTCTCCGAACATGACCCATTGGCAACGTTCTATAAACAGAATATTACATGTGATGTAATACATCGTAAAATGTATTGTATAGGTGAGACAAATGAGGCCAAATGGGATATTAATCCAAATTACCCTTAAAAGAGTTTTACATCCTAACCTATTAAAAACATTAACAAAATCAAAAAAATTATCAATTCAGTTTCATTTGAAAAACAGTTTGACTAAATATTTTTCTATAATATTTTGGTGAGGCAGAAACAATGATGGGAGCCACGTCATAATGTTAACATGACAATCCTATGCTTTACAAGTTCACATGTTTAAGATTAATATATTCTTTGTCTGTGCATTAACTTGATAATTTTACCTTGTCATCACGTGCAATACGACCTTGTACTTTTTCTGGATCAGATAAGGTTTCCCTCATTGCATTTATTGTATTTATTAGATTCTGTTTAGCTTCTGCAAAAATTAATACATAACATAAATAAGACAATAGTACAGATCATAATTATTGTACAGTCATATACGTAATGTACAAGTACTGATCGATGATTTTTAAATAATTTAATCCATTTCAAATTATGTTTCCTTTTGAAATGTTGCCCCTATTGATAAACCCACCTGCCCAGTCCAGATAATCAACACATTCTGATTGGTCATATCTAAGAGCTACTTCTCGTGCACGTTCATTGTGACAGTTTCTTTGTTGTAAGTCCCACCCATTGTCAACCAGCACTTTAAGGCATTCTACACGACCCCATGCTGCAGCCCTGTGGAGACTGGAGTAACCTACAGTAGAAAGAAAGCAGTCAGGGTAAACACCTGAACAGGTACTAAATAAGTGATCTCCCTGGTTGTTGTCCCAAGGTCCTGGCTACATCTTTATTTTGCCTGCTTCCTATGAAATATATCAATACAGTGACCTGTGAAGTGGATTACCTTTAGAAGTGGAACACCTCTGTAACTAGTGGAACACTTTGCAGAGTCCCAAGACCAACTGACATAATGTTAAATGAACTTTCCTAAGTGGAACACCTCTCAAGTGGAACACTTTTTAGAGGTACAAAAGGTGTTCCACTTAGACAGGTTTTACTGTAATTCACCTTTTGACAGGCTACTTCAACATGATGGCAGGTAATTTTCATATTTTCCACAGAATGAAATATCAGGTTGCTCAAATGTTGGTAAAATCATGGTAAATAAAACTCACATGTTATATTAGATTTGACTGTCATCAATTCAATGGTTGGAATTAGGTTAAGATCCATCAAAAGTCATTGATTCATTGCAATAAACATACTTATTTTAACAGCAACAGCAGACTACCACTGACATACAGTACATAACGTTCCTGACCTCAAAATTGGTAATGATGTTCTACCTCGAGTTGATCATCATAAACATTTAGGTCTCATACTAGACAAACACCTAACTTTTGACCAACATATCACAGAGCTCACCAAGAGGATTGATAAACTATTAAACCCACTTAAATCTCTAAGCAACAAATTAAATGGAAAACACCTGGAATTAATCTTCAAATCTTTCATACTTCCAATTTTCGACTATTGCGATATTCTTTATGGTTGTGCAAATATGAATAAATTAAAATCCATTGATCAATTATACTACAAAGCAGCCTGCATTTGCTCAGGTGTACTACATGGAACATCTTCAACAAAAGTCTTTAACTGCTTAAATTGGCCAAAGCTATCTGATAGAAGACAAATGCATAGACTTTTCCTGATGTACCGAGCTTACAACAATAAACTTCCATCCTACGTTTTGAGTATTTTTAATCAATATCGTAGAAATCTTCCATCAATAACACGAAGAAGTCGTGACTACCAAATTCCAATCAAAACCTCAACATTTTCAAATAGATCATGCGTATTTAAATCCATCATTGACTGGGAGTCTCTCCCACCCGAAATTAAAGAATCACCAAATCTAAATATTTTTAAATCGAATGTAAAGAAAAAATTAATGACTACTTATATCATTAATTCCTCTGAGATCTCCTTAACAAGGAGCCAAGAAATTTCTCTGAACAAGGTGCGCTGTGATCTGATCTTCCAGTCCCATTTTTACGCCCACAATTTTACTAATGTACCATCCCCTACATGCAAATGTGGGTATAGCAATGAAACATCCATTCATGTCATGTTCTCTTGTAACCTTAGATCACAATATCTTAAAGATTTAGAGGATGCACTTACTCTTCTAAATTTTAATTACCCAGCATTTAAAAACCAGCAAGACAAATTATCATTGTTTTTGTATGGAGACAGAAGTCTGCCAAAAGAAGTTAATATTGAAATTTTAAGGCTCACCTCAGCTTTTATTCAAAGGTGTGCAAGCGTGTAAGTATTTCTTCCACCACCAACTGTATAATTTTGTACACAATAATTCTTTTGTTTATTGCAAATTCATTGTCATACTTTCTTTTTAAATCTTGTTATTATTTAATTGTGGCTTATAATGCTTCATTGCAAAGCCGCAACATGTGTATGTAATAATTCTATTTTACTATGAAATAAATCAAATATAAAAAAAAAAAAAAAAAAAAAGTATTCTGCATACTTTTTTCCCATTACTAATTTTTAAACAAAATATGGAGAACTGTTCTTATCTTCCCACTAAATATGAGCACATTTTAACATGAGCAAAACATTCATTATTGCAGAAATCATAATTTCAAGTTGAAGAACACTCCAGCTTTAGACTAATGCCGTGGTCATATTTGCTCCAATTTTCAGCACCGGCGCCCGGCCAATGAGTATTTTGTTCAAAATTGAATACACTGAATGTACTCAATCGGCCGGGCGCTGTAGTAAAAATCTGAGCAAATGTGACCACGGCATATGATGGCATTAAACCATTGTAAAAAGGGTGCTACATTATTTTTAGCTCACTTACCTTTTTTAGTGGTACTATTAATTTCTGCCCCCCGAGTTATTAGTTCTTGGACCATTGGTACACGACCTAACATTGTGGCAACATCTAGGGGACATCGAGATTCAGCATTGCGGGTGTTGATGAATGCTTCAACTGTTTCATGATGTTCATCCTCTTCATCTTCAAAACATTTTATGAATCTGCAAGTTAAAAGAAAGTAAATTTAACCAACAGATTACTCCTGTAATGAGTTTACTCATGCATTTTATTTCAATACATTCTGTTTATTCATCTGTTACCCTGAGAATGCAGGATTAGCTAAATCATGGCTTTAAAAGAGAAAGCCTAAGCCAAATCTAAGCTACATGTACACTTAATTCTACTACTCTCCCTATCAGAGCTGTGTTTTGAACAAGTTAATGTTTTCAATAGTCTTTAAATAGCATGCTCCAGAGGGTAAAAAATATTGTTCAATTCTGTCATCTTTGTTTTTACGAGAACTGCAAGTAGCCAAATCAGTGTGTAACAACCCAGGTAGCTGTAGTGCAATAAGCCATATATAGCCATGAAAGGGACTGTGTTAAATTCAATGCCCCATGTGGGAATCGAATCCAAGACCTTCCAGTTATACCACTCCCACCTGAAGGATATACACCCAGGATAAACACAAGGGTGGAACCTACTTCTGACAACAATGTAACAGCTTGAGTGCCCCCAAGGAGCTGTAGTGCAACAAGCCAGATACAGACATAAGAGGTAGTATGTTAAATTCAATGCCCAGCACATGTTGGAATGGAACATAGGACCTTCCTGCTCAAAGCCTGATGCTCTACCGCTGAGCTTTAAGGGCTAAGCACATCAACTGAGATGTAATAAGTGTGTAATGTAGTGACTGACGCCTTGAATATTGATAGCTCAGTTGGTACAGCATAAGACTTTGAACGGGAAGGTACTGGGTTTGATTCCTGCACTGGGCACTGAATTTAGCATATACCCCTTGTCTGGTACAATGCTTTAGAAATACCAGCAAAAAGCCGAGTAAAACTGTGACAATTCTAAATATCACCAACTAGATAAAACTAAATAACTGAGTATTAGAATTCTTTTTATGCAGTTGAATCTCCAATCGTAAACTATTGGTTAATCAGCAGGAAGAATCAGCAGGAAGAAGAAATTTTCATTTTTAATAGCAAAATTCCTCCATTTACTACTATCCCCTTCCAACATCTTGAAAAATGCTGATATATTTCTGATGTAAAACTAAAATCTCTTCATTCTGCCGATAAACCCATACAACTGGTGATTCAACTGCATAAAAAGAATCCTAAAATATGAAGGAATGTATCGAGGTACTGTAGGTATTTAAATGTGCAATGCCTAGTACTTTCTCCAAGATTGTAGAAACAATGTCTGAAAAATGTTGGGTCATTGAACCCCGACCTGGGGACCCCAACTTAGCAGGGTCCTAGTACATGTAGGCTACATACAGTATATATGATAACAATGAGGGTTGCCTGCTCAAGTCTTGTGTAATCATTCAACTTATATAAAATTACGGAGTGGCTCCAGGACCGACAATTGTCGGTGCTGGAGACTGTCCAGGGGTATTTGCTGGGGTACCGACAATTGTCGGCACTCTATCGTCACCTAGTAGTGCCAGATAGAGAACCGACAATTGTCGGTACGCAAGTGGCTGCTACGTGTTTTTGCTAGAGAGCCGACAATTTCATAAATAATTCCACTACTTTTACACTTTGAAATAACCTCATCACTGGTAGTCTAGTGGTTAGCGAGCACGTCTCGAACACCCTCGGTCCCGAGTTCGAATCCCGACAAGACCTACTTTTTTCTATTGAGGGGGGGGGGCATAGTGCTTCTTTTGCAGTATGGAATCGTACAGGCATTAACTTGTAGTGAGCCATAATTTATTTCGACAAAAATTGATTCAACTTCCATCAAAATTGTCCTACAAGCTTCGATTAAAAAACATTTTAAAGCTCTTTTCTTGTCCTATCTAATGGGTCGATATATACAGTTAGGGGAGGGGATGCTTTCGCCCCCGTCGCTCTCTACCCTTACTACGCCATTGCACAGGAGAAATATCTCATTTGGAATATATCACTGTTTACTTTGCGTTTGATAGCTCTCTCATGCGAGTTGGAATCGTGGCCATTAACTAAGGGAGCCAAATGCAACTTCCATCAAAAATCGTTCTATAAGGTGTGAGTACCGTAATCCAACACCAAATTCGAAAATTCATAACAATACTTTGCACATATGGCGTTCGTGACCAACTATGAAACGCTTACCCCCCCCCATAGTGTTATATATCAAAATGCACCTGTCCATATAGGGGTTCGATTGACCTACATCAAATTATAGGGAGTCAGGTTACTTTTTGAGATATCAGCGTCCGTTTATTGTAACTCGCGTTTGTTACCACTTCCTCAATTCTGATATGAAGGGCAAACGCGTAGTAAACATGCTCACGTTCGGAACTATTTTGACCTACATCGCTATTTTCGTAATTCAAAAATCAACCCTACCATTCCCTGTTCCCGGGCTACCATTTTTTTACTGGGTTTGGTAATCCCCGGGTAACCGGGGCAAATGCCCTCCCCGGGTTTTGCACTTGTTCCCAAAATATCCGTATGATATCTGAAATATCCCCCCGCGCATTGCGCATGCGCCAGAAAATTCGAAAATCAATATTTGTCGGTCCTCTAGCGTGTAAACACAGCATATCTCCCGTACCGACAATTTATTTGTCGGTCCTCTAGCGTGCCACCACATCAGAGTCTAGAGTACCGACAATTGTCGGTACTCTAGCCTTTACGATAAAATTAACACGAAATCACTACAAAATATTTTCGCAGACTGGCAATTTTAGGTAAATGTTTTCTTTTTGTTGTTACTCTTAAAGCAAATATCGCTAAAATTAAGAATTTTAAATGAAATGCAATCAATGCAATGCAAACCTAAAAATTCAAAAATGAATTATGAAAACTTACCGTGTAACATTTCCTTTCATTGCACATCTCATGACAATATTCAGATTTTCACTTTTGTCATTGGGTTCTAACTGGTCATCTTCACAAACTGATACTTCTATTTGTTCAGACATTATGGCAGAAATGTATGAAAATAACAAAATATTCGATCAAATGTTTCCAGCAACAAGGTTAGTGCAACATGACTGCCTGAGTACATTCACGAAATCGTAATAAATTCTCGTCATGAAGTAATTTTGATAATTTTTTTTACTAATTTTAGTCAGTTATATAATTATTTCAATACATTGAAATATTAATTAATATTTTAAATTTTAATTCTGTACATTTATGATATATTTTATTTAGTTTTGTACTAAAAGTTATTTAGTTATATTCGTGTCATGACTAGGGCGCCATATTGGATTTTCTGAAATTATTTTGATTTTACATTCCTCTATAATTGTGATGTTTTGACGTTCATAAACCTAAAATATCGCAAAGTAATGAAACTATTATAAACTACAAATACGGATCTAAGACTTAAGCTACATTATCAGAGGTAAGGAGGTATGATATCTCGTAAGTTGGGCTTCAGATGTACTCATTTTCCTGGTGGTAGCTCTACTACTTTTTTCAAGGCCTGACTGCGCCGCTAGCCTAACATGCTAAATATAAGAGTTAGCTGACGTTTGGGAGTCTGACTTACCTTCTAAAGGTTAGAACCCGAATCTTAATGAAACCATATCACCATGGGCTTAATTTTAAATATTGACTACTTCACTTAGCTTGGCGGATGTAGAACATTGCTTATATTATTTTAATTTTCACACCAGACATGCTTGGTTGACACGTCAACAAAGTAAAGTTCAAGGGTCAATGCGTTATTTCGTGATAACTACAACGCCTTCCCGGAAGTCAACATTGATGAAAAATGAAAAAGTCGGAAAAGCATTTACGCTAATTTCTATCAAATGCTATGTTTATGCATCATCATCGACGCAACAAAGGTGATATGGTTTCATTAAGATTCGGGTTCTAACCTTTAGAAGGTAAGTCAGACTCCCAAACGTCAGCTAACTCTTATATTTAGCATGTTAGCGGCGCAGTCAGGCCTTGAAAAAAGTAGTAGACTTAACCAAACCTGGCCCAGTTATCTACTCTCGATATCATAGATCTGGGCCAGACAATGTCCAATGCAAAAAATGGGGTATTTACTCCGGAAAAAACACACTGGTTTTTCAATGTATACGTGCTGATAAATGAATAAACATCATAAAAGTCACTTACATGTTTGTTCCTTGTATCAAATTTTGTATTTATATTATGTTTCCATCGCTGGATGACGGCTAATAAATAAAAAACGAAACGATTAAACGCAGCAAAAAGAGAAATTCTTCTGCAATCTGTTCGTGATCTTGTAGAATATCGAGAAGTCTCGGCTGCATATTTCGTTCATTACTACATTCGGTCAGTTCAATTGAAAAATCGTATTTAATGTCCACCATATTTCTTTCCAGTCTAAATACAACACAGATACGTCTGTTTTATAAAGTAATCTACATTTTGATAAGAAATCTGCTGAACAAATCGTAATATTTGGAATGTATTTATTCCCGGGAAATGTATTTTCGTTCCATGAAAGTTTAAAAATTATCGCGTCACACTCGTGTTACATCACATCACGTGACTTTATTCGGTGCGGAGAACTGACGAAATATTGACGAAATGTTGTGCCCATTTCAACATCAAAATAACAAACAAAACACCACATTTACGTGTAAGTTATGTATTCTTTATTTCAAATAAATACTTGGGTTTACATGTAGCCCGATGTTTTGGTTAGATGGCTAATAGGGAATGAATAATAAGTGATGATTCAGCGACATATTTTTTTTCCTGAGTAAATCCCTAGACTGTATCCTTCGTCTGAATAAATTCAGACTGTAAGTCACCTATTGTAAAATGTGGTGTTGCATAAATGTTACAAATAAGTTTGTTTAATGATAAAATGATTACCTTATAAAGAACCTACAACATTATTTTTTCGTATATTGTCCTCTTACTGAAGATATTCATAAAATGTACAGACGCTTCTTGTAGCAAAGCCATTGATTAGGTCAAGCCATTTTGGCAATGCCAATTCTCACGATAAACGAGATTTAGCCAGTGACGTCAGTCTATTTGTAAACAAATAACACATGGAGCGGATGGAGCAACATTACGGAAGCGTATTGATAAATTCCATTTGTGCGGGAATTTATTAGATCTAGTCATTTATTATCATTATCCCGATTAATTTTCGTCATTTATAGTAAATAGATCGGAAATATTCATGAAGAAGGCCGAGGTGATCAAGTGGTCATGTGTTGTCAAAGTTCCAAAATTTGCATATCTCGTTTGGATCTCGTGAACTCAAAACGTCCTTGACATTGATTTCGCAATCTACTTATAAACACATCCTGAAGTTTTGGTGAGTCTGAACATTTCATTATTTTATATCAACTTGTACCCGCCTTATACAAATATTTTTGCTTCTAGTTTAAGATGAACATCTCTTCAACATATTCACCAATTTTCAAGGTGAACATTCTTGTAATAAACGAGAAATTTATGTGCACAAAATATCGCCGCGATTTCCATGCCAGGGGTATCAATCATAACAGACCGAATATTATATTCGGTCTGTTGGATACATACTAAGTAAATCCCCCTTTTTTGCATTGGACATTGTCTGGCCCAGATCTACGAGTTCGGGAGTAGATAACTGGGCCAGACGGGTTTGGTTACTCTAGACTATATCCACTAGTCTGAATTTTTTTGTAATTTGGAATGAAAATATTCAGACTATAGCCCACATATGTTAAAATTTGGGATTGAAAATCATTTGTTTACATAGGAAGTGCCATTCAAAATGGCCGATTGGTAAAATTAATTTGCATATTTGTTACTTCTCCTAGCTTTACCTCCATTTGACAATATGCTGTGTTACTTTTTATAGCATTTAATTGTACCTTACTACTTAATTGAATTGTTATAATGCTTATTTTTGAGAAACAAAGTTTCCTAAAATTGATAATTGTGTGCAGGAAATTTCCTGTTTTTTCCCACAGGAGGGACATAATGGTCAATAGACTGAATTCTCAGGAAATTCAGTCTATTGGATATAGACTAGTGGTAGCTCCTCGTTCAGACCAAAAATCCACCAACCTTACCTATTTCAAAGGCTGGACTGGTCTAATTATTCAGCCTTTGCTCCCCAAATATTATTCGCCTCGTAATCATGATGACGGAAACAGAAATACTTAATTTGGCTGCTTACTTTACATCTATAGATGTTCCTAACATCAATGACCTTTGCCTCTGAAACTACGGAAAGTTTCAGGTGCCTCTGGGAAGATCAAGACTTCTTTTTATTAATCGAGGTGGAAATTACCTATGAGAAATAAAATGGCGTTTTTAACAGAATTTAATAGTCCAGAGATTTCAAATGAACGTTAACAAATGGGTGCATTTTCAGGTACACCCGCTTTTCATATTTCATATCATTTATTTTCATTTTGAAATCTAAACAAATATGAAATGAAACAACAAATTAAAATAAAAAAAATAAATACAGAAACAAATTTGGAACTTCACCACATATTCTTCATTCTTGCAACATAGACATACTCAAATACTCTTTTGTACCAAGGACCATTATTGAATGGAATAAGCTCGATGATGCTACCATAACTAGCCTATCGATAGAACTCTTCAAGGACTAATATAATTTAAGGCTATGAAAATCATCCCCTTCAGGGTTAGTCTATATCCAATAGACTGAATATCCTGAGAATTCAGTCTATTGATCATAATGTCCCTCCTGTGGGGAAAAACAGGACATTACCAGCACAAAATTATCAATTTTAGGAAGCTTTGCTTCCCAAAAATAAGCATTATAACAATTCAATTAAAAAGTAAGGTACAATTAAATGCTATAAAAAGTAACACAGCGTTTTGTCAAATGGAAATAAAGCTAGGGGAAGTAACAAATATGCAAATTTATCTACTTCATTGGCCATTTTGAATGGCACTTCCTATGTAAACAAATAATTTTCAATCCCAGATTTTAACATATGTGGGCTATAGTCTGAATATTTTCATTCCAAATTTCAAAAAAATTTCAGACAAGAGGATATAGTCTACCTTCAGGGTTACGTATACATATTTTCTACATTGAAAATCTAGGTGTGAAATAATTATGATTATGAAACTTTCCATAGTTTCACAAGCAACGGCTACTGATGTTTGGAACATTAGTTTCAGGCGTTACGATTATTAAGCGTATTATAATATTATTGCCTGCATGTTAAGGCTGTATATATCAGAATCAGTCAGCAGCCTTTGACATATAGGTAACACCAGCCCATTTTTAAAACTTAGGAAATTGTTATTTATCTTTGCCTGTTAGCCTCCATATTCTCCCCATCTGTTTAAAACATATCCACACTATAGACTAGGATAGGAATTGGCATAAAATTGGTATAAAATATAAATGTTTTTTTTATTCAAGTACTCATTTGCAATATATAAAAGAATACAAATATTTCACAAAAGCTTTATATGTAGAAATATGTACTATAAGTTGTATAAGTTTAATGAGTATAATTTTACATGATCTTACAACTTGAACGTCATTCATACCCAATTCAATTCATTCATGTTTATGTCAATAATCTGCATAAGGCTAATAAGCCCATATCAAAGCAGATATATAATTTAACAGTGATAGAATTGAATAGAATATTATTTAAAACATTAACATTTAAAGATAGATGTATGGTTTACAAATCATACCCGCATTCTCTCACTCACATATTGACTTTTACAGTGGCCTATCTCTTTCCTTAGAGTCCTAATTAAATGCATTTTAATTGTATTGGTCCATTAATACTTCACATTGGTCTTTGATTGCTTATATTAAAGAATTTATAGACACAAAACCCAATTAAAGTGGACTGTACTCTATTTTATACTGTAAGTAATCAGAAAACTCAAATATGTCATTATGTGAATTTTTTTTATTATATAAATTATAAGTTGTGAGGTATTTATTTTTTCAGAATTACCCACAGATTCAACAATTGCAAATACCTGTAGATACATCATCTGAAGTACCAGTTATTATAGTCATTTCAAGCACAAGTAGTTCTAACAATGGACGCGATGATAGA